CTCCTCACCCCTTCTCCTCCCTTCTCCTCCCTTCACTTGTCGACTTCCACCTTCACCTCAATCTACCCCTCTCTCCAGCGTATCTCCTCAAATTCTCTTGCTTCTCCATCCACTTTCACTCTCGCCCCTCTCATCTTGCTCATCCTCCCCTCAGGCCGTTGACCTCATCCGAAAGCTTCTCTGCTCCGCTCAAGATCGGCTAAAGGTGAACCTGAGGGTGAAAGATCTGAGGGGAAAAGGAGCAGCACGGACAAGGAAGACGAGGGGGAGGAGGAGGAGGAGGAGGAGGAGCGCGGAAAGAGGAGGAGGAGAATGCGAAGTCACCGAAAGACACAGGAGGAGGAGATTCGAGCTCATCCATTCTTCGAGGGTATCGACTGGGACAACCTTAGAAAATCTCCAGCACCTTTCATCCCCGAGCTCTCGGTAACTCTTTCCCCTCTCTCCCTCCCCCCCCTCTCAAGCTCCCTCCCTTCTTCCTTTCCTTCCTCGTCTCACACTTTCACGCCTACAACCAGTCCTCGTTCTCCTCGGCCACCACTCGACTCCTCGGCTCCTCCTCCTCCTCCTCCTCCTCCTCCTCCTCCTCCTCCTCCTCTCTTCCTCCTCTCACTGCTTTTCAGTCGGAGATTGATTGTCGATACTTCGATGAGTTTCCTGACACAACCAAGAACAACGGAACTATCGAGAGGTAAATCTCTCCTTGCTCCTACCCCTCCCTCCTCCTCTGTTCTGCTGCGTGTGCTGCTTCCTATCCTCTACCTTCCTTTCCCTTCCAGCAGCTTCTCCTTTCTTCTCATCATGAATTTCCCTTCCCTTTGCTTTCCTCACTTTCATCAGCACGCTCCTACTCCTTTCTCCTCTCCCCGTCTGTTCTCTCTCGGATTGGACTGACTCGGACCAGAAAACCCGCTAAGACTGCTCCTGTCCTCAACTCGCCCGACGCTCTTGCATGGTTTCCTACATTCTCCCGTTCCTCCTCTGCCTCACTGCTCACCCAGGATTGGATACTCGTGGAAGAGATTCCCTGACGCCATGCGCAAGGTCCTGTTCTCTCCTCCCCCCTTCACCACCAATTACCAATTCGTCCTCCACCTCCACCTCCTCCCGATCCTCCTCCTCCTTCACGACCACTTCCAGGAACTCCCCCTCCTCCTCCTCGTGTTTTTCCTCCTCTGTCTTCCTTTCTCATGACTCATTGAGCAGGCCAATCAGAGCGCGAGAGGAGAAGAGGAGGGAGGAGGAGCAAGTCAGGCTGCTCGAGGCCTCTGAGCGCAAGAGTCGGTAGAGGGAGAGCAGCGGAAACTTTACATAAACATGTCCATCTCCGCGATTCCGTAAGAAATGCGATCAAGTCATCTTCTGTGTTCCCCAACCAGGGTCAGTCAGGAGCAGAGAAAACGAGAGTTGACCAATAAGAAGATGGCAGGAAGACAAGGAGGAGGCAGGATCAGACAAAGAGGAGGAGCGAAGAGGAGGAGAGCGGGAGGAAAAGGAGCAGTAGGAGTGAGGGGCAGGACAGTGACAGCGGTAGCAGCAGCAGCAGCAGCAGCATGAAGTCCTTACATCGGTGGCGGGCCGGCAGGGGCATACTTAGAGTGCTGTCCGTTCCAATAAACTGAATCCTGAAAGCTATTTCCATAGGCCTGGTTGGGCGTCCACAAATCCTGCCCGAAGAGCTGACCGTTGAGCCCGTATGAGTAGGCATACTGCGCCCCCGACGCCGATCCTCCTCCCAGCTGCTGCACGACGTCAGCAGGCCTCCAGCAGGCGCGGAGAGAGGTCCCCTACCTGCATCGCGGCCTGCTGCTGTTGGTACGAGTTGGGCATGTGGTGCGGCATCACGGGTCCAGCGTCGAGCAGCCGGCCGAGCTCTGTTGCCGCATCCGCAGACAAACCCAGCTCGTTCATCATGGCGAATCGCTTCGCCTTTGCATCTCTGACAGAGAGAACCTCGTTGGTCTGCAGCGCCGTTTTCACCATCCGCCTATCGATCTCAGGGAGATTCAGCGAAGAAACAATCTGCAGACATCAGAGGTCAAGGTCAAGGCGTCTCAAGGAAAGGTCCTCACCATGTCTAGATCCGGTGCCAGCTCCTGACAGCACCGACAATCGTCAGCAAACAACATCAGCACAAGGAGAAGGGGACCGGCAGCCGGCGTTCCTGGGCGACACCTGGTGAGGCAGAAATGATGTAGGATAGCAAGAGCCCAGCCTTCTCCGACGGGACCCCAAAGTTCCCCACCAGCGCCTCTTTCGTCACGAATCTACAGGAGGCGAGGCTAGTGATGTTGTTGCGTTGAAACACTGGTGCACACTCCGATAGCCCGAGGGTGGAGAGCAACTGTTCGAGCTGAGGCTCAAGAGTCGATCCATCCTCTCCCGGAACCTGGAGTGAGCAGCAAGAGTGAGAGGCAAGGGGCAAGGGGAGACGAGGCTGACTGGATTCGAGGATGAGGATCCGCCGTGCTTATATGCTCCCTTACTCTTCTTCTTCTTCTTCGCACTGGTGGGCTTGCTCTGCTCTTGAATGGCTGCTTCCTCCTCCTCGTCAACTGTTACATACTTCTCCTCCTCGAAATATTCCGTGTCCGGCTCAGAGCTGTTGAGAGATTTCTGAATGCGGCTCCTCACCTACCATCCTTGATTACCCTTCTCACGCTCATTCGCCCAGACCGACCTCAGTTCGGAAGCCGATGGCCTTGAGATCGTTCACGGGCAACTTCTTGAGTGAGTCCAAGGAGGTGACGTTGTTCTGAACAAGATATTCTCTGCATCTTGACCTGTACAGTCGTCATCGGCCACTCTACACTCTCTCCAAGTCCTCACAGCTTCAGCTTGGCGAGAAAATCAACCAAATCCTGTTCGCATGACCTAGAATCGTGTCAGGTAGGAGGATCACTCCCTCCCTCCCTCCCTCCCTCACATGCTCGTCACTCTCGCCGACGTCAATTTTGAGTGCGCGACTCAACTAGCTCCAACTGTCAGAAGGCGACTGGCTGACCGACTTCGCAAAAGGGAATCGTCAGAGGGGTGAGAGGGAACATGAGAGAGTAACCCTATCAACACTCTATGTTGCATGATTGCTCACTGTCAAGACACGTGACTTGTACGATGAAATATCATCATATTTGCTCGTGTCTTTAGCAAGCAATGATTGATGCGACCTCAATAAAACAACCCACGGTTTCACCCAGGTCAACAACGGGAAGATAGGCATGTGACTTCTAAGGAAGGGCATGTTTGACTGACAAAATCATGACATGAGATTCAATATTTAGCTGATGGAGGTATGAGTAAGAGAACAAGGAGGGGAGGGGGGGGAGGAGGGGATTCCAGCATTGCAAACAGCGTTTTGAAGTGAAGTGAGCACAAAGAAAGCTTTTGCTTTCCGAGGACAGCATGAAGAGGAAGTAGGAGGGCAGCAAGAGCGGCAGAGCATGATCGTGCGAACAATCCATGATGTAAGTGCCAACGCGGAGGAGCATGCCGCGAAAACGCCTCTTCCCCTCCATCGTAATTTTTCCCGCCATGGTCGAGAGGCGCCAGGTCAGCCCAGCATGGATATAGTGAAGGTAAAAGTCCACAAAGAAAGGGTGGGGTAACCTGTGGATAGAGGAGGGTAGGACCTATTGATGAGGGGTGGTTTGGGGGCTAGGAGGACGAATGTGGGGGTAGGGGTCATTCACACTTTGTTGGCATCGAGGACGGGGGTGGACGAGTAAAGAAAATAAGAGGGAGTAGGGGTGGTGGGTGGTGAAATTGAGGGTAGGTAGGAGGTGGGTGGGTAGAGTTTTGTGGGACTTCTTTGCTGAGGTAGGACAAACCAAGACAACATGGGATTGAGGGGTGGGTGGTGGATACCTGCAACTCAAAATCGGTTTCATTCAGAAGCACTCGCATTCAACAATTGATTTAATTGGTCAAACCAGGGGAATCAGATGATTTAGTTTGATTCAATTCAACATTGCTTGACTATAACCCCAGAGCTCCAGTGCTCCACGGTCCCCACATAACATTAGTCTCTATGGGGTAGGGTAGTTTCATGTACCCGGCCTTTCAAGAGGCAATCTGGGTAATGAGCACGGGTACATAGCTGTGGAATGGGGCTCTGGGCGGATAAAGAATACTAGGGGGGGTGGTTGGGTGGGGGGTCTAAAAGATGTATCTGGGATAGGTGGTATTTGAGGTGCGAATAGGGGGTGATCAAGGTGGACGTTGAGGGGGTACAAAATCCTTCAAATTGAGGGGTGGTCTGAGATTGAAGAGGGGGGTGAGACCCAGCTCACAGGGTGGGGTGAATTCAAGGGAAGACCAGGGGTATGAGAAAGGAAGGTTCACCTTTCGCAGTCAGTCTTGACATCTCAGTACCGGTCTGATGCAGTAGCTGTTGATAGTAAATGAATAGGGTGGGGTCAATCGTCTAAGGGGTGGTGGTGGTAGCTGGTGCCATGCAAGATATCACTAATATTACCCCATCCTTTACCCTTACAAAGTGGGTGGGGTATATGACCCTACCCTATCACAACCTACACCAGTCATCCCGTCATGATAGGACGTCCTACAGCCATTATTTCATAGTTGGTCATACCAAGCTCCTCAACATGTACCCTACCCCCTACTCCGTCTACCCAACCACCCCTTCCTTCGGAACAACCCTCATTCCAATTCTGAGTCTGTTGACTGATCAAGATTCATGTGGAGGGTGAAAAATACCCTCATCTTTATTTTCAAAATAAATAATACAATTTGAAATAATCTTACCAAGTGGATGGAAAATTACAACCCCCACTGGGACTGAGACGTGGAGCTTTTTCAAGCGATGGCGGCGCGTGGGGGCTACAAGCTTCCCTCCCTCCGCAATGGGGCTGGCGGGGGCTCGCCGGGACCAGCTCCTGTCTCTCCCTCTCCCTCTCCTTCCTCTCGTCTTGCTAGTGGATCCCCTCACCCAAACCTTTCTTCCCCGTCCTCCATCTCGTCTGCTCCTGCTCCTCCTGCCCCTACCCCGCCTTCGGAACAAGGTCCCAGCGACGGAATGTCCCCGTCACCTTCCTCCGTCCCCCCACGTCCTTCAGCCAATGATGTTCCTGTCGCCTCACAGCCTAGCGTGGCTGAACCTGGCGGGACCAGGCCAGCCCGTCACTCTCTGCCGCAACAGGTGATCTCAAGTGCATTGTCTTGTCCTCTCCCCTGTGGCATGCCAACATTGTAATTTTCATCATCTCATTAGCATCTCAATTGCCGAGATTCTATTTCATTTCCTTTCTGCCAAGTCCTATCCATTTAGTCCCGCATTTTCACCTTTTTGTACATCTTTAACTCGATATTGAGTTCAATACTACGTGTTTGAGTTGGTTTGTATTACACTCATTATATCCCATTGCGACAATCAACCTTTCCTTCCCTTCTCGTCGTGTTACGCTCGTGCGTCCTATGCTGACTTTCTCTTGACCTTTGAGAATCCACCCATTTCCACTTCAAACATGCGTCATCTAATGGTTTTTTTGGCAGACGCCTATAGCAAGCAACTCCCTTCAACAACCACAACCAGCGCAGGCCAACAGCTCTCCTCTTAACCAGAGCACATCGGCACAGAACCAAGTGTGTGGGGTGGGCATCTTATTCACACAGGACGCAAAGGGGGAGAACAAGATTACCAAGGTCGTTCCTGGCAGTCCAGCCGCTGCGTCAGGGCGAGTGAGAGTCGGCGATATATTGGTCAAGGTGAACGGCTACAGCATCGTCGGAAAGTCTGTTAGCGAGATCGTATCGATGATCCAAGGACCTCAGGGGTCCAGGGTTGAAATCTCTTTGACCTCGTCTGAGTCCAAGTCCTGGAATGTTGTGTCTGCGCCGTTCCAAGAGTTGCCCTTCGACTACAAGAGGGACAAGTCGTCCAAGAAGACGACTACAACGAGCAAGGGGAGAGATGACATGCTTCCCGGACAGAGGATGGTGTTTGGAGGAGGGACGCTTCCTCCTGGATTCGAGCACCTGGAGAGCCTGCGCACGTCGCAGCCTTACACTCAGCCCTGCGTGAGCCTCAGGAAGGTCGTCCTGGTGCGCCATCCTCTTAAGCTTGAGGCCGCGCAGCCTGAGTAAGCCAAGCAGGATAGAAGAGGCAGGTGAATGCCACATTCGGAGTCCTGATTCAAGAGTTGAATTCTTTTTGTTCGCTGAGTTGGTCTCTAAAAATTCATTTAAGCGGAGGAGAGGGCCATCCCCACTGTCTCCCCATTCACTTCTTCTTGTTGTCCTTGCCATCCTTGGACTCATTCTTCTTGCCCTCCTTGAGCTTTGGAATGTGTCAGCATCCAAGATATTCACAAAGCATTCAAGCACCTTCTCCTCAAACATCGTAGCAAGTCCCATAACACCATAGATCCAAACAGCAATGGTAGCTGCAACCGAGACAAGTTACGACCAAGAAAGAACAGATATCCAAACAATGCACTTACCGAAGAATACAGCTGCAACAGAGCTGGCACCATTGATGATGTTACCGAAGATGATGACAATAGCCTTCACGAAGGAGTAGTCACGAAACATGCTTTCTACCAATGCAAACGAACCTGTTGAACTAAAGCTCCTCCAGACTTGCCAATACGTGCAGCAAGAACGTCGATAGCGGCTTTTCCTTTCACCTGTCTCACTTTGAGCATGCGCAAACCCAGAACGAATCGGTCACCTTAGACTCCTGGTCAAGGGGAATGTATGCCATCTCCTTGGTCGGGTCGAACAAGGCGTACTTGATTGCCTTGGAGAGAATGTTCTGGACCATGCCGACATACACCGCTGTCCACAAAGCCTTCTCATTTGTTCTGACATCCTAAAAAGAATACTCGGTTTCGGGAGCTTCATCCTTACATGACATCAACCTGAGTGATGACGTAGGCAAAGAATGGTGCTGCCAAGCCACCCATCAATACTGGAGTGGTCAAGGCCCCAATCTAGAACGGTGAAATGTAAGTAAAGAGTATGGCTTCTTGACTGCACAAATCTCACCCTCCACCCCAAGTGCTTCACGATGTTGGAACCGAAGAAGATGATAATGAAAGTAGCAGCGCCAACCATCGATGAGTAATGGCCCATGAAGATCTGCAAATAATTTAGGTTTCCTATTGACCATCCAACTTGCGGACCTGATAGTCCTTCTTGTTGGGATGAGCTTGCTTCACCATCTTCTTCCAGATAACTTCGGTGAGGTTGATCGAGAGACCGTAGCTGACAACGAGGATGCACAGATATCCGAGATACTTCTGTTGAAGAAGGAACTAAAGGGATCCAGGTATCAGACTGAGCATGCACACACTTTTTTCGTGAAGCACCTTAAAGCTGTCAACCATCCCCATTTTTGGCTTGGACTTCTTGGCCTTGACAGTGTTCTCTCCCTATCAGAGCCTTGGGTAAGAAAATTTTCGATCTAGCTCGACGAGAGAAAATATTCTACCTTGCGGCCCAACTTCTCATCACGCTCATCCAGCACGCCAATGTAATGGTACAAGAGCATCAAGCAAGCTCCCGCCGCAAGAATAAGAACGGTAGTTTGCTGCCCAGATACTCACAAGTGTTTGAAAATATCAAAGTTTAAGCTACCTGAAGAGCAACGCCAAAGGCATCGTCTCCTTTGTCGGAAAGGTGAGCAAAGTATGCAACAGTCTGTTGAGGTCAAGCTTTAGACGCCGATTACTAAGCGACAGAATCAAGAATGGCACCTGTCCAGCACAGATTGGTGCGATGTTGGCAAGCTGTCCAAAGAGAGGGTAGAACCTGTTAGCCTGTACACAGGGAAGTCAAAGAAGCAGACTCAGTATTTTAGTGCAGCTTTCACCTGCCAGACGGGAATGATGTCGTTGGCAAGCTGCCAGAAGAGCACAGAAACTCCAACAGATCCCCACAATTCTGAGACGACGTAGAAGAGGGAGTAGCTCCAGTTGGAAAGGAGAGAGACGGCATACTGAATCGATGCTGAGATACCAAGATAACTTTCAAGTACTGATCCATACCTTCCAACGCTCGTCGAGATCCTGAGGGATTGGGGGGTGCAAGATTTCCCTATTGGGGTAGATGAAGTACGCGAAGACAGCATAGAACGCCTACACAACCAGCCTGAGAGCAAGTAACAGTGAAGCTTTACAATCACCATAAAAGGAAGTGCCGTCACGTAGAAAAGAGCCTTCTTCGAGAAGATGTTCGAGATGCGAGAGTAGTAGAGCATGAACATGGTGGCGGCTGGGAGAACACCATAAACCTGTTTGAATTCAACCCCACCATTAAATCAGGGTGCTGTGCCATATCAAACATTTCATTCACCTTGAGGAACGTGATGCTCTCAGCTCCGCATGTAGACACGACCAGGGTGTCCTTGGTGTCACGCACAGTGGTGTAGATGTAGATGATCATGAACATCATAGCAGACATCGAGAAGAACTTGGGCATTTCCCTGATCCTTCGAGTCAGACATTGTCATTCAAAAGGTCACATAACAGACCAGGTCTCGACCGGGAAGAGAGCATCCTTCAAAGACTTGAGGATCGAGGTAACTCCTCCTTTCAACCTCAAGGAATCCTAACAAGATCGAGTGTCAACAAACACAGCCAACAAATACAGACACAACAAGTTCCGAGGCGAAGCAAGCGAGCATCTAGTGACAAGATCGATAGCAATGCGAGCGAGCATGGCCCTATTTACCTGAGACTTCAAATTCTGCGACCCAGCAACGGAACGCAGAATCCCCTGTTGGGCACCCAGGCTCCTCAGCTTCGGAGCATCGGGGGTGATGGTGTTCACTCCGGGGTGGAAAAGGGAGTGAACTGGGGCAAGTGCCACCAGGAGAACAGCCAGGGACACGCGAATGTAACTGTTCATAGTGCCGTTGATAATCAACCTTCCACGCAGGGAGGAGGCGGATCGAACGATGACGACGGGAGGACAAACTTTCGGGCGCAGCCTTCAGCAGACGAAGGGAGGGCGAGTGGAAGAGGAAGAGCAGGTAAGCACTATGCGGAGTTTGGAGGAGGAAGTCTCCAACAGAAGGAGAAAGTGGAAGGAGGGAGGAAAGGGGAACAAGGAGGAGAGTAAGTGAGTGGGGCAGAGGAGGAGAGGAATGGGCGGAACTGGGAGGAGGGGGGTGGGGGTATTCCCCGCAGGGGTACTATGAAATACCGGTGGCAATCTGCCTGTTTCGAGGGGGTGGGGTTGCAAGAGAATTCTTGTGTGGAACGTGGGTAGGGGTGAACTAGGCAATTCGTTACTGAGGAAAACCTTGACGGAACGCCTTATGAAGGGGGTGGGGGTCAGATAAACATGGGTCATGAAGGTAGGGTCCAGGGCTGCAGGATCCATGGGGTCACCGGGTGGCGTTCGCTCAGAGTTTGGGGTGTTGGTGATGAGGGGTGGTACACAGCACAAAGAAAGGGGTGGTGGGTCGTTGGCTGATAGGGTAGGGGGGATGGGGGTACAATTTACGCAATGGATAATGGCAGAGTTCTGATTAGGATCCTTTCAGAAAGGAGGGGGTACTATGATGACATGAATCAAGTACTCACTTTGATTGAATTTATTATGATATTTGCTATAGAAGGATATCGTAAAACCAAACTAGACAACAACTTGAGCTCCAATTCGATTGATTCTCAGACCCCCAGACTGACCATGGAATGGAGCATACGCCAACTTTGACATCATCACCAGCCGCTAATGTGATACAGTACCCACCCGTTTCATACCAATCTGGCTGGACTTTATCACTGCACGCAACCTACCCTTCTTCCGGCCTGGATTTGAAGGTAAAGAGTACCGGTAGTGAAAAGTCGGATTTGTTGCAAGGGGGTTCCATGGGTGTAGATCGGGTTGACTATGGACATGTAAGGCTTATAATTAATCTTTTCTCTTTGAAGGGGGTACTTCATCAGTATAATACACCCGTACTTGAGAAAAAAGCAACAATTTTTGACTACAAGCCTTGCAACCCCTACAAGTTTTTAAACAAAAAATAATATAGAAATAAATCCCTACAAATATTTGTGCAGCCGAGAGATACCAAGAGATTGACGAAAATCTATTTTATGAAGTTTTTGATTTGTAGCGCTGGGTTACAAACAAACAGATCCACAAAGAAACCACCCTACCCCTCAAGCTCCCCAACACAATTTCTTACGTTGGCCCTGGGGATACTGGTGGGTATCACCACAATGACCGAAGAGCTCTATGACATCACCGGTCATTGACCCGGACCCACGTTGCCTGGGGCCATACGTAGCGGCTGGTGAACCAGGGAGCAGATGGGGGTAGGGTGGAGCGATGGGAACATGTAAAATCATTTTTGAGGTATCACACAATTCCTCTGCAAGGGGTGTAGGGAAAGTATCATTTGGTGGGGTAATTTACGCGGTGAGGTAGGGGTACAAGATGTTTGGGGAAGGGTGGGCTGCTCGCCAAATGGATCTGTTACGACGTAAAGGCGATGACTATAAGGCGCAAGGTTATAAACATTGAAAAAGATATTTTTCATTGGAAAACTGGTACTGAGATACGTATCTGTAAAACATATTTCTCTGTAAATCTGCTCCTCCCTTCAGATTTTAAAATTCTTAAAACATGCACATAATAAAGTGACATGTTGTAGTACTGAAGCACCATGACATCCAGTACAAAACTAAAAATTCTATTTTGCGCTGACATACGGCGAAGTAGTAACCTCAGTTTTAAAAAGAGGGCAGGAGTAGTATGACAGGTTAAAAAGATATCCGGGAGACTCTCTTTCTGTTGTAGAGGTGGAGACTTCCTCAACGGGGAATCGAACCCCGGTCTCCAGGGTGAGAACCTGGTATCCTAACCGCTAGACGATTGAGGATCGCTCCCTGGATGTCCATTTGGCGTGTGTCAGGGTATATATAGCATAATCTCTCCGGGCCGGGGCATCCGATGCCCGGAGACTGAGTACGGTCAGTCTCGGGGCCGTCACCTGTTTGTGGCAGTGGGGATCCGATGATGACCGATGATGACCGTCGGACTCGCTGGCTGAGTCAAAGAGTCGGACTCTGTGATGACGGATCCGACGCGCGAACATCCGCTGATCATCATCATTGAATCCGGTGTGACTCAGTGACGCCAGGGTGGCAGATTCCATCACTGAGTGTTCGGCCGCACAACACTCGGATCGGACAATACAGGCTATAGTTTGTCTCGGAACACCTTGTCCGATAGGGGGAGATAGGATGATGAGTGCACTCAGCCGCCTGGCCGGAGGGCCGGGCGTGACTCTGTGAAGACATCGCGCGCCACTGAGTGAAAAAATGATCTTTCTTCATTGCCTGTATCAATCACTGGATCTGATACTCTTCCACCTCCAGCAGAGGATCTCCTGAAAACGTGAGAGCCTTCCCCGATCTCGCGTCGCTCACTCCTGCAATGGACATCTCCGCCAAGTTACCCTTGCAGACAAAAGTGACTTGGATCGGGAACAACGACTCAGGGTCGCAGTCGTTGACGCTAAACTCGAGCGAGCCGCTCCGATTCGAGTCGTCCACCAGCTCCACCCTCCACTCGACAGTCCCGTTCTTGCTCAAGTACCTCGCGTCTCCTTCAGCCACGTCTGATATTGTCGCTTGAGAGGGGCAGGGGACGACGATCCTGAGGTTTGACACTTCCAGATGGGAGGCGCTTTCGTACTCGAGGTTGACAGTCACGTTGTTACCAACGGCAGATGGCCAGCAGCTCACGGAGATGGGGAGCATGGACTCGGATCCTGACGGCAGCCGCCACTTGAGCACTCCCAGCTCGTTCCCAACAGGGAAGCTCTTGGCCTGGTCTCGGTGGGAGAGGACGCTCTCTTCCGTCCACAGTCCGCGGTTGATGTTAGGGTGAGTCTTGAACTGGAATGCAGAAGACGCCTTGTGCGTTACCTGGACCCTCGTGTACGCAGCCTCCGGATCGTTGACACACATCTTGAGCTCTCCACGAACCTCCAAGTTCTCCAACGTCCCGTCACGGGTGAGGCGCACGAGCAGTTTCTCCTCGATCTTGAGGGTGACGCTCTGCAGAGCAGACGGAGCGCTGGCCTGCCTGCCGCCACTTTGGGCAGAAGGAGCTGAAGCCTTCGAGACCATCCCCATGAGTTCATCCTCAGCTTCAAGAGCCTTGAGCACGTCGTTGGACTGCTTCGTCTTGCTGCCGAGCTGCATTCCTTTTCCCTTCGGGGGCCCGGTCTTGCGCACAGGCTCGTTGGTGGACATGACCTGTGCATCGTACATGGGACGGCGATCGTCGTCCGCAAAGGCAGAGGCGATTCCACTGCTGCTCATGCCTGAGATTCCACCCATCTTGCCTTTCTTCTGTGAGTCAATGGCCGCGGCCTTCTTCTTGGCCTCCTCCTTGGCCTCATTGATCTTGCTCTGCCTGATCATGTTGTGGAGCTTCTCCTCGTGGCTCTCCATTTCCAGGGCAGTTTTCACTTGCTGGAGGTTAATTGTTTCACGGTGGCCCATCGCCAGAACTTCATCGAATGCGAGGATCAGCTCGAAGCAGTGCTCTTTCACTCCCTCCTCGTCAAGACTTGGACAAAATTCCGGGACCTGCCCACAACAAGTCAGGAGCACATACGTGGATAAAGACTGTTACCAGCTTTGCAAGCAACCTCAATGTTTCCAGATCCTCTATGATATTACTAGACTTGTTGGTGATGAGCAATAGATAAAGCTCTTCCATAGGCTGATAGACATATCGCACAACCTCTGTTTCCACATATGTATGCTGGTTTTTGGTGTCGACGAGCTTCGAAAACCCAGCAAGGAGTCCTTCAATACGGATTCTGTTCATTTCGACGAATTGGCGAGCAACCAGCGGCTTGCCCGTCTTGGAGGTCAAGGATGCGGACAGGACGACCATCGTGCACTTGGCAATCCGAAATTGGTTCCAAGAGGTTCGATAAAGCTAGAAGCGAGACTTCAAGCTGCACCTAGACGGCACGTAGAGTAAGATACAGAACAAGAACTTTGTAAATTCAATCATGTATTTCATGGTAGCATCACAACTCGCAAACTCACGGGATACTGACATCAACATAAATACAGAGTGTGTTATAAGAAAATTCTACCCTCCCTCATGCATAATTTTGTGGAAGGATTCCAGAACTCCTTGTTCTCGCCATCACCCGGGATCATTTTTGTTGACTACGCTATCCAGACATCTCATGTCTTCTTCATTCTTCAATTGTTCCTGTGTATGTTTGCAACTCTTCTATCTTCACTAAATCCTCCTACATTTCCGTGCGCCTCGTTTGTCCCTTCCTCTCACTGTACCACCATCTCAGTGCCCCTTCCCATTGGGCCCTGCATTTCCGTTTGCCCATCTGGGTCTCTTCAGGACACCTTCCTCCATTCCCTCCCCCTCTCCATTCATAAGATGAAAATCCTCAAACAATCATCGACCTGCCTCCTACCTCGATGGCCTCCTTCATGTTCAGCCTATATCACCTTACCCACCTCCACCTCAACGCTGGTATGCTGCTTCCTTCCTTGGCTCCTTGCTTCCTTCCTTCCTTCACTCCCTGTATCCAACCTTGTCTCTCCTCCTCCTCCCTCTGGTACTTCTTCCTGCCATCTTCCGCCTCTCGCGCCCCAGCATCCCCCGCCTTCTCCGGCTGCCCTCCAGCATTGCCTCTTATCTCCTCGCCGCCGCGTGGCGAATTCCGTTATATCCGTTACTGTTATTGCACCCAAAGTACCCCCTCCGAATCCTTTTGAGTACCCCACCATGCTCTGGAGAAGACTACAGGGGTGGGTGATCCAATGGTGGGGTCATCAGAAATTTTGTGGGGTGGGTTGATGAAGGGAGGGGTATACTCACAGGTATAATTAGAGCTACCAACATATGACGGGTACATATGAGAGGAATTTCTGGTAGTTTTATGGGTACTCTTGCAAGATAGTTGACTTGCACAGGGTGATGGGTCTTACGATTCATAACCACGGGTAGGTGGTAATCGGGTCATGGGGGTCATCGTTGAAATTGTGATAAATAGGTGGGGTGGGTGGTGATCGGGTCAAGGGGGTCGTCGTTGTGAAATTTTAACTGATGGCGCAATGGAATCAACGTCGTTGGCGGGAAGATGCTAAGAAGAAGAGGAGAGGGAGAGGGAGAGGGAGAGAAACAGGGAAGGAGAGGAGAGATATCGATCATTGAGACGATTGTGTGCATGAAGATACGTGGGGCATCAAGTTCGAGAACGAATAGGGCAGGAACAAGCATGGTGTTCAACACAGATGTACGAACAATAGGAGATTAGACGAGGGATGTAAGTGAAGTTGTATCAATAGGACCAGCATAAGAGTGTTTGAAATTACTTGGAGTGGAGGCAGGAAGGGAGAGCGCCAGAGAGGGATGGTTGAAAGGAGAGCGTACACTGATCTGTACTTAGTTGAAGAAACATAGGATTACTTTCTCGAAGAAGCCGGGTGGCAGGGAAGGTCGGGGAAGTAGGTTGATGGTGATAAGATGCAAAGAAAGAACGTGTTCGCTACCAGTAGGAATGGGTATGGTCTTCGTGATGGAGGGTTGGTATGGCCTTCATGATGGAGGGTTGGTATGCTCTTCATGATGGAGGGTTGGTATGCTCTTCATGAATACTCAGGCTCGTTCTCTTTCTTATCCAGGCTACCGTGAAACATGGAGCGAACTAGCATTACAGTGCCGAAACCGCCAAAGAGGAATGTTATCCGCATCAAAATCATCAGCATGGGGGACGCAGGATGTGGTAAATCCTGTCTGATCAAGAGATACTGCGAGGAGAAGGTCAGCATCTTCCCAGTCTTCCCTCTCCATTCCTGCCCTCCCTGCATCTCATTTTCCCTTTACTTTCGATTCCCCTCCCCTCTCCCCTCTCCTCCTTCCCCCCTCCTTCCCGTGCATGTTCTTCCTCCCTGTGCCCTGAAATTCTCTTACTCTCTGCCTTCCTGTCGTTCAGTTCGTCTCCAAATACATCTCAACCATCGGCGTGGACTACGGCGTGAAATCGGTCGTTGTGAGCAACCAGCAGGTCCAGCGCAACTGGGAAATCCTCTTTGCATCGTCATCTGTTTCCTATCATGACATTTTATCTTCTCTGCCCATTCTTATCATCTCATTATCGACAACGTCACTGTCTCAAGATTTCTTGTGCATCACAATCAGCACCGCAGACTAGTCGTTCTGCATATTGTTATCATCATCACCATTACTATCCACAACCTCTTCTCCATTCTCCCCACCATCGCCCTGCTCCCCTTGGCCTCCCCTGCTGCTTCCTCCCTCACCCTCCATGCAGGTGAAGGCGAACTTTTGGGACCTTGCGGGAGGGCCGGAGTACTTCGACGTGCGCAACGAGTTCTATCGCGATGCTCAGGGGGTGAGACGACGCTGAGAGGAGGAGGGAGGGAGGGAGAGTGCTTGCAGGAGCAGGAGCAGGAGCAGGAGCAGGAGGCTGAAGCAGGAGCAGGAGCAGGAGCAGGAGCAGGAGCAGGAGCAGGAGCAGGAGCAGGAGCAGGAGCAGGAGCAGGAGCAGGAGCAGGAGGCTGAAGCAGTGTTGCAGGCGATCCTAGTGTTCGATGTGAGCAATCGCGCGAGCTTCGAGGCGCTGGAAGGTTGGGTGCAGGAGGCGTACAAACATGGGGCGAAGGACATGCAGGTCGCTGTCTGTGGGAACAAGGTAGGAGGAAACACTTGTCGTCCAATCCTCCATGCTCCCTCTTCACTCTTACTTCCTCCCTCCTTCATCCTTCATCCTTCCTCTTTCCCTTCTCACTCCCTCCTCCTCTCCACCCCTCTCCCCTCTGCCAAATTCTCAGTTTCATTTCTTGTGCTGCCATTCCTTACCTGTCATGGTAACTCGTTGTCTTCCTCCTCCCTGACGTTTGTGGGCAGTGCGACAGCAAGAGCAGAGAAGTGAAACCCAAGGAAGCGCAAGCATGGGCGAACAAGAACGGTTACTTGTACTTCGAAACATCTGCAAACAGGTTGAGAGATGTGATGATGACGATGATGAATTCGAACAAACCTTGGGATGATTGCATTGAGGCTGGTGAAGGGATCACGAGGAGTGGAGAGGTTATTGTTGGTGTTGATGATTAATACGATGATGATGATTCATGTTGGAAATGCTGACTGTTTTGTTCTTTTTCTCCTCCTCCCTTTCTTTCGTCTTTTCGTTTCTAATCCTTCCCCTCTTTCTTGACTGCAGTGGAGAGAATGTTCAAACTTGCTTCAACGATCTTTTCACGGCTGTTGTCCGAAACCTCCCTCAACGATGATATCACTTCTACCTCAAACTAGCAATCTCCCATGTTTATCAGGTCTTGTACATACTTCTAGCATTCTTTCTGCAACCTCTTATGTAATGTTCACATTCTTCGATTATTAAACTTGTGAAAGGGAAGTTCAAGTTATCGTCGATTCGATTCATATTCAGTATCAGCAAACTCTGCATCATCATCATCATCATCAGCAGCAGCAGCAGCATCAACAAGCTCGACTTCAACCAAATGAGCATCTACTTTCATGTAGTTTGACTGCTGCCAGAGGATTGAAAAGGAACAGAAAACTCAGGCAATCTCCTTCCTCAATAGTGTGTGAATGTGATTTTCTGCTACCAAACTTCTATCGTCGGCAAGAGCTGATATCGATTCCTTCTTCACTTCCCTGCGCATAACACAGAATCCTTTCTCCTTAACCGGATGTTTTCTCAATCATCTCCACATAACCTGGTGAGAACATGAGAGCATTGAGTTCAAGGTGTGAGATCTTTGACCATTTCATCGCGATCTATCGACAATTTCATTAGAATCAAACCCTCCGTTAACAATATCCTTACATTTCAATTAAGTTTGCATCGCTCACAGAATATCAACAAGATGACATCTACCCCTACATGTATATTCACATTCTCATCAACTACATAAACTTTTTCCCCCCCTCCTCCCCTTCCTCCCTGCCTCCTCCCTCCTCCCTCCGCTTGCTCCTTTTTCTCGCCCTCCTGCTCTTCAGCATCCCCATCACGCCAGGTAGCTGGCTCGAGCGCACTCGCTGCGGGAGAGGAGAAGGAGGTACCAGTCTCCTCTCTCCTCCTCGCTCCTCAAGGTCAACTCGAACAAGCCCCGTCCCAGCGGAAAGTCCAGCAGCCCGTACGGGCTGACGTCAGCAGACGGATGGGGCAGATCCTCCCAGCTCTTTCCCAGCTCTCCTCCAGCAGGTTGCCAGGTGAGGTAGAGTCTCCTGCTGTTCCTCGGGCAGAGAGCCGCCTGCCACTGCTTGACGTCGAGCATCAAAACTTTCTTGGCGTCCAAACTCATGAAGCACTGCAGCGCAACTGCAAACAAGTCGTAAGACAGGCTCCTGCTTCCTGCCTCCTGCCTCTAGCTTCCTGCCTCCTGCCTCCTGCTCTTGCTGCCCCTGCCTCTTGCACCCTGCCTCCTGCTCCTCCTGCTCCTCCTGCCCTCCTGCCCTCCTGCTCCTGCTCTTCTTATTCCCCTTCGTGCTCACCCTGCTGCTCCTCCCTCCTCCTCAACCTCTTCACTTACTGTCGCTATTCATCTTCACGCACTTGAGCATTAGAGAGTCGTCCTGAAGCCGCAGAAAGCACTTCCTGTGAAACGATGAGGTGGTGGAAAGGGGTAGGGACAAGAAGAGGGGGCAAGGCAGCAGCTTGAGGAGCGACAATGGCAGGGAGAGAGGAGGGGGGGGGGGGGGGGGAAGGTGGTGTTGGAGGACGAGGGGAAAGGGAGGAGGAGAAGGAGGAGGAGGAGGAGAGAACCTGTTGAAGGACAAAAACCTTGACCGTCGGCACTTGACTGTACACCATCCCCACTTAATTTCTAGCTCACCTTGCGAGCGAGGAGGAAGAGGAGAAAGAATTTTGTCCTTTGTGGCGGGGAGAGTCTGATCTGGAGGCTGAAGGAAACTCTGAATCTCATCAAGAGCTGAGAAACTTCCTTTGGTGGAGGAAGCAGCAGCAGCAGCGAATAGCTGGATGGCTGTGTCATCTGATCCCTCACGCTCCAGCTTGTTCGAGCTCCTCCTTCCTCCGCTGACATCGAACGAGTCGCCGGCTGCCTGACTGCCTGAGCTGTTCACACGATGACTCTTCCTAAAGTCATATCACAACCTCCTCCTCCTCCTCCTCCTCCAACATCACTTCCACCACCTCCTCCTCCTTCTTTGTTCATCAATATCCAACATCATCAACCTCGTCATTTTCATCATCATAATCGTCATAATCATCAATACCACCACCACCACTACCACCACCACCATCATCATTATCATCATCATCATCATCATCATCATCATCATCATCATCATCATCATCATCATCATCATCATCATCATCATCATCATCATCATCATCATCATCATCATCATCATCATCATCATCATCATCATCATCATCATCATCATCATCATCATCATCATCATCATCATCATCATCATCATTCATCATCACCCGATCTTCCTCGCTTCTGCTGACTTCAATGCTGATCTCTCCTCTGTCCCCAGGAGCTCCTTCCTCATGCCCTCCACTCCCTCTCCTCCTCCTTTCCTTGCCGCAAAGTCGATCGCAAGCTGCAGCGGCGACGGGCCGCGAGTCACCAAAGGCCACTCGGAAGAAGTTTTGACAGGAGCCTGACAAGTCAAGATGTCAAGAGGCGGAGACATCAACACATCAACGACAAACACGTCAAAGAGGACGTACAACAAACAACATGTCGATATCGGATCGAGGTACACAATCAAAACTGATCTCCCCCCTTCGCCACCCCACTCCCTCCATCTGCTCCCACCATCTCCAACGACGCCGAGGTGTCAGGGTTGTGCGAGTCGTCTGTCCAGCTGACAAGATCTTGCTCAGCTGCAGGCTGCTGGTCAGAGGAGGAGGGAGAGGATAGCTACATCACTGATTCTTTGGATTGGATGCTCCCCGGAAATGAAGAGGGGCCCGACTGACTTGTTGACCTGCTCTTGACTAGTTGACTTGCTCTTGACCTTTCTAGCGCGCTTCTTCTTGGTCAAAGAATGTTTCGAGGTGGCTGTAATGGGGAGAGCAGGGTTGACAAACTCGATGCCTGACTGAACATTGGCTTCTTTCCCCGCCTTGGATGGTACAAAGCTATCCTCGAATATCCTGAAAGAGACAACAACGAATCAATGTGAATGACGCGTGAGCAGCGTAAGACCTGAGGTGCTTTCCTGTCACTTCTTCTGTGTTCCCATGGACGTTCTTGCCCGCAGCCTTCAAGTTCTCTATAGTGCCTTCAGCTAGCGACTGAGACGACTCAAGAACATAGACATGCTGCTTTGTGATTCCGATCCTAGCATGGCGAGGCAGCAGAGCTACCGAGTCAACACGTTCGCCGTTGACGTAGGTGCCGTTGGAGCTGCAGTCCTCCAGGAACACGTCATCGAACTGAGAGAAGAAGTGGAGGATGCAGTGCGTGGAGCTGACTTGATCGTGCTTGATACGCAGGTTGCATCGGTGCCCCCTACCGACGATGAAGGGAGTCTGGTCGATCCCTATGACTTCTCCTGAGTCTTCTCTCCTCAGCTTGTAAGCTCCCTTCAGAGCTCTGCGCCTGCTCACCTGCTCTGCTGGAGCCTGGTCGTGGGCATGTAACGATGGGATCGAGTTCAACCATGTTAGGGAGGGAGGGGACGTGGATGAGGACGACGAGCTAGAGAGAGGAGAGGAGATCATAGGACGAGGACGAGGACGAGGACGAGGACGAGGACGAGGACGAGGACGAGGACGAGGACGAGGACGAGGACGAGGACGAGGACGAGGACGAGGACGAGGACGAGGACGAGGACGAGGACGAGGACGAGGACGAGGACGAGGAGGATGCTAGGGCGATCTCAACAGCTGCATGCCTGCCCGCCGTCGCATCCCCCCCCCGCCCCCTCTCGACATTTCCTTCGATCGTTTTTGACGTTTTTGACAACGAAAGGCTAGTCAAGGGGTAGGGTACTTTTTCAACACAGTAGGGGTTCATATCAGCTGCGATGAAGTTGAAAATAGAGGGTAGGGTAAATCATAGTTGTGGGGTGGGGTAAGAGCAGGTTTAGGTTAGCAAACCTAGGGCGGCAGCAGCATGCGATGGAAGACGCTGGTAGCGGGGGCATGCTGGGCGATGGCGACGAGAGGAGAGGCTTGCACAGACATGCGCGTCTCCTCCGGGTCCGTTGAGATCCGACCCTCCACCTGCTCCTACTGGTCTTACGCTGGCTCGGTGGAGTCGAGTGTGGGGGGAACGAACGTGAAGTTGATACGGTGGTGGAAAGACTGCAATATTCCTGGGGATTATGCGAAGACGAGGATGCAGCAGGAGGGAGGAGGAGGTGATATGTCCTTCAGTGATGGGCAGGTCCTACCAGAGAGCACGCAGAGCACGGGGCGCATACGTACAATGTTCAAGACATTCGGCTGCAACGGAGAGGAAACGTCTATCATGGAGACTGTGCAAGCTTCTACAGGGTCAGCGAGCCCAGCGAGCTCAACGTCATCAGTCCCGCTTGTCAACTACCAGATCAAGAGCTCCTCTACGGAGAACTACTGGACCATATCGACTCCAACCGTCCCCCTCACCTCCTACCAAATCGATTTCTCCCTCACATCTGAAAAGAACCCCTCGGAGCAGAAAGTGGCAAAGGCTCAGATTGCAGACTACAGCAATAGAGACAACTACTCGGCAGATCTGTGCGTGCGCGGCCAAGACGGCAACTACATGGCCAAGTGGGACATCGAGTACTTCACTGATGATGATGCCGTTCGGCGCTCCATCCTGGCTTGTGTCTTATTCAAGGCGTTGAGAGACGACAGGAGGTAAGACCAGGACATGTTCATCTCCGTGACGTTGGTCTCCTGACCTCGAGTGCAAGGGATCTGAGCTCTGGAGTCTACATAGACAACAGGTGTCGAACGGCGTACCTTGCCCTCTCCATTGGACTGCCCATCACGATCATCGCGTTGATCTCGCTGGTAGCTCTACTCTTTCACCTGTCTCACCTCATGCTCGACCTTGGCGACTTTCCTGACTTGCCTTTGCAAAGATCACTGTGATGTGCGGTTGTAACATGTTCCTCATGCTGCACTCCTTCATTGTCAAGACGTACAAGGTATGCTCCCTGCCTGCATTTTCCTCGGATCCACCACAACATCGAAACTTGACTTGCATGTCTGCGTCCCAGGAGAGAATTGCAAAACGGGAACGATCTGATAGGATCGAGCCCATGGAGGAGAAAGTGATCAATGTGGCTGTGAGCCCAGTCGAGGAATACATCAACACTGAAGTCCCCAAGAATGGAATCCTGCAGGACAGGACCAAACTACCAAGGAAGGTCGACGAGTTGAGAGTTCCATCGAGACAAGTATCTACAGGAGGAGCCCCCAAGTATAGATCTGAACAGCAAGACGCTCTGCAAGGCGGTTGGGGGGGAGAAAAGAATTGATGTTGCCAGGAAGACTGAAAATGCTGGCACTCTCACACTGATGAAAGAAGGTAGCCAGGAATCTGAATGTAAATTTCTTGTTGTTAGCACATATTATGAGGAGATCTTGAAAACTTCACCTTTATCCGAACGAAAGCTGTTAGAAGATTGAAACCGATGATGATGCTTAAGAAGCCAGCGAAGATGAGCAAGAATCGGTTGTTTCTGTTACTTGCAGAGCCTTCGTCAGCCCTGTGCAGCAGGACCAATCCCAGGCCTCCAACAAACACAAGGAAGCCTGCCGATATCCCTTCTGCTACATACTGTCCGTTTATCCTCCCGACCATGAAAGCCTGGGGCTTGATGATGCCTACAATCTGTGAGCATCAGCAAAGAGCGAGCCAAGGAGAGAGGACCTGCTTTCGGATCAGGAATCGATCCCATGGTAGGAGCATTCAGCTTGATGTCGTACACGGTTCCTGACACCAGCAAGCAGAACACTAGGAAGAGACTAGAGAACCCGGATCCACTGAGATCCTTCCAGTCCTGTCTCACAGTCGTCACGTCCAGTCACATGCTGCATCTGAAGCACGTGTTGCATTTGAGATCAGGAGTTGAACTAGAAACTTCATCCCATCCCCTCTCCATCGAGGCATCCTATATCAACCCCTTGACGTGTACAGTGACATGGAATCTCTCTACACACATCGGTACTCCCATGCACTCCTTTTCTCTCGGTCTACAGCTGCCAATCCTTCCCTCACCATCTGCACCCTTCCCCTCCTCCCCTTCCTCTCCCCTCCCTGCTCGTCTGCCTTACCCGATCAGCCATGGCCTCCACCGCGCGAGTCTGCCTCAGTCTTCAAGTTCCGAACTCCCTGTTGAGTAAACTTACCGTACGACTCACTGAGTCACTCGGTGATCGGAACTCAGTGCGGCCAGCGGCCGGGCTGAGGGCGCTGCGGCCCCGGGGCCCGGCCCCGTCCGATCACGGCCACTGCCGCCGCGCGTGACTCGGCGCCGCCAGGTGACACTGGCCGGTGCTCGGACCGTTGCCGCGTGCGCGGCCGTTCAACAGTTCGCCGCCGCCGGGCGCCGGGGCCGGGGCCGCGGCACGCGGCACTGCGCAGGTGACGCCGGGCGGCCGGCTGACCCGCGTCACGAGTCACGGTCGGTCCGAGTGCGTGACCGTGCCGGCAGGTGGCGCGCGACTCGGTCTTCAGTGGCCTGGCAGTCGCTCACTCGGAGACGGTCTGAGCGGCCCGGGGCGGCAGTGTTGCCCGGGCCACGCTCGGAGTCAGCGATGCCAGGGAAACTAACTTAGTGGGTCCGATGGTACCTTCCGAAGTTCAAGTTGGTACAGGCTGCGGCACTGCAGCTGTTGGGTCCAGCAGGCTAAGTTCTTTGATCATAGTACCCGATTGACACAACTGGTCCCCACCGTGACGGAAGGCCCGTCTCGCTCCGCCGAGGCTCCGATCAAGGTCGCGAGGCTGAGGGTCATTCGACCGTTTGGTGAGACGCTTCGGAAGCTCAACCTTGGAAGAAGCAATCTTGAAAAAGAGCTCCGTTGAGAAGTTGCATGATTTATGATAGAAAGAGCCTAGTCTAAGTGATGAACAGCACTGCTGCTGACGTCAGTCCGATCGCCTGAGTCGCGTGGCTCCTCCTCCAGCATCGTCGATCACTGAGCTCGTGACGCCAATTTGCTTATCGCGTGCGTGCGTGCAACGGTCGTCGTTGCAGCAGCCGCGCCAGGTCTCCATCCCTTCGGATGCTCCCGATGGAAGAGGAGGAGCTTCAATGATCACGATATGATGTAACTCCAAATCTGGGATGGAATTCAGCATCAAATTACAGGCGCTCAAGCCTTGAAGGGAGAATTGAAATCTTGTCGGAGGATTCTTAGCAAGTTCGAGCTGCGCAGCGTTGGAAGGTGCACAGGGCCCCGTGCCCCCCCGGTCCGGTCCTACCGGTAGTAGTACTGACCATCATAGTACTGAAGTGACTGCCGCTAGCCTAGTACTATGGCAGGCTGGTAACCCTCTGATTACTACCGTCAACTTGTGGAACTTGCCAAGCGAAGTTGATGGTTATCAGCGGCATCTGCTGTCGCAAGTATCCTCTCACGCTCGCCCATCTCTGCGTCCCCAACCCTCATCGCTCGCCTCATAGTCAGGCCCTCTGCCTCTCCCGCCTCCAAGGCTGTCAAGTTGCCCTCGCCTTCGCTGAAGCGGTACGGTACCTCTTGTCTCCTGCTTCCCCTCCCTGACCGCTCCGCTCCCCACAGGTCTCCCGAGCCGTTCCTTCCCTCAACCACCTCTTCATCCCCCGCCAGGGCCGCCTCTCAATGTACGACACCCTGAGCGACTTGATCCCTGCTGCCGTCCGCTCGCACAGCCAAGTCGTGGGAGGGTACGGGGTGAGGGAGGTGGAGTTCAACAAGATCCTCGAGCACAACGTCTTCCCCAAGATCCGCGACCGCTGCATCCTTCCCGACGACGTGGAGGCGACGGACTTCTCGAGGAGCAGCAGCGCGCGCTACTTCTTCTCCAACCGCCGCTGGAGGAACCCCGACGACCCCCGCGAGCTCCAGGAGCTCCGGCAGGCCTGGCTCAAGCTCCGCCAGCTCGCGTGGAGGCTCGGGGCGGACGTGAGCCTGGAGGCGTTGGAGCAGTGCTGCCGGGAGAGGTACGGGACGTGGGTGGAGATGACGACCAACTGGAGCAAGGCGGCGCGTCGGGTGTACCGCAAGAAGCGCAGGAGCAGGAGAGAGATCGCGGACGGGTCAGCAGACTCTCTGTTATTTTCGTCGTCGCTGTCGGGGGAGAGTGAAACCGAGAGCATGGAAGAACAACATGTATGGGATGTCGGCGGGTGCTGCCTGAGGTCTTGGACCAAGGCAGTCACTGCAGGGCTGAAGACACGTGGCTGTCGAGGTTAGAGCTCGAGAGGGTGAGCAGAGCGTGGCTGGGAAACAGACTGCTCAAGGGCGAAGAAGAAAGGGAGGGGCTGGATGGGAAGCTGATGATGAATGTGGGGCATGGTAGGAAGGACTAGTGGGCGGCGCTCAGCCTTGAGGTCACTGAGTCGCGGACCAGCAGGAAGAGCAGGAGGAGACATGGAGGTTTGGCGTCGCACAGCAGTCCCGGGCGCTGGAACTTTGGCGGCCTGAGTGGAGAGAGGACTCGGCAGGTGGGTAGGCTCGGAGCCTCGGATAGGCCCTGATCAGCCCTGACGGATGGAAGGAAGAGGGAGAGAGGAGGGGCGCCGAGGGGCTGACTAGCCTCTTGAGAGTGAACCGTGTACGTTGATGTCATATTCACTACTACGGTAGTCACACGAACCGTGGCATACCGTACTGACAGGCTCCGCGTACGGTAGTACTGATTTGTAACAGGCTTAGGGGGCCTTGAACTTCACTGAGTCAAGTAAAGAAGCATGGTGGCCGGGCCGCGGCCTACGGCCCCGTAGCCGCCGGACTGTCTCACAGGCTGAACTTGACGTTGCGGAATCGGCGCGCGGCCCCCGGGCCGCCCGGCCCGCCGGGCCCGACTCCGATATGATCATGATACTACGGCCGGCGTACGGTACTACCCGTAGCAGCTCCCGGAGTCCGGCCCACCCCGGGCCGCGCCCCGGCGCGGCCAGCCTCGAGCCTGATCGGACGGTCCTCGACTCTCCTGCCAGTTTTCCTCGTACTGATTTTTAACTTAACTTTGAGTAAAACCCCAGGTCCGGACGGTGAGTCACTGGCAGTCCGATAACTTTCAAGGATTTTTTTTAATTGTTTGAACTTCGGAATTGTTTGACTCAGTGAAAAGTTTTTTTCCCGGCTATCTATTTGTCCTGACGACTTCTAGTCAGCACTCTGCTCTCTGCACTCACTCAGAGCCTCGAAGTCACACCGGACGGTCCGATCTGGTGACTCGTGACCCGGCCGCCCGGCATGGCCCGGGCCAGTCACTCCGAGCGGGCCCTGCCCGGCGCCCGCAGCCTGAGCGGGCCCTGCCCGGCCCGTAGTATGAGCGGGGATGAGGCTTTCGTCATAATAGCCGACTTCACGTGCAATGGCGGCGAAAAGTTCGAGGGAGAGGCAGGAGAAGGAGAAGAAGGAGAAGAAGGAGAAGAAGGAGAAGAAGGAGAAGAAGAAAGAGGAAGAACATGAGCAGGAGGAGGAGCAGGAGGAGCAGGAGCAGGAGCAGGAGCAGGAGCAGGAGCAGGTGAAATCGAAGGTGGAGACGACCAAGCACAAGAAGCAGAAAGATCGACCAAAGGAGGAGAACGACGACAACGAGGAGGAGTTGGACAAAAGCGATCGACAGGAATCAGACAAGAAGAAGAAGAAGAAGAAGAAGAGCCCTGGAGGCGACGGAGCAGCGAAAGAGGAAGAGGAAGGGAAGAGGGGTCTGAAGAGAGGGACTGAAGCGGGAAGGCTGGACGAGACGCTTCTGCCATACGTTAAGGAAGTGACCAAACTCGCCAAAGAGAACGAGTTTGAAACTGATGAGGACAGGTCCTTGTTCGTTGACAACGTGTGGAGGGAGTTGAAGATGGGAAAATCCGACCAAATGATCCGGCTTATCACCCACAAGGAGGGGAGTGTAGCTGTCCAGAGCATCTTGCTCTTGTGCTCCTCAAAGCAGCTCTACAAAGTCTGCCAGGGGCTCAAAGGAGCCATGGCAAGGATCATCTTCAACCCGTACGGTTCGCACGTTCTTGAGACTATCTTCGACTTCATCCCCAGTCTGGTGAACGCTTCCTTGGAGGAGATCTTCCATAAAAACGAGGAGGAGGATGAGGATGAGGAGGAGGAGGAGGAGGAGGGGACAGAAGCATTTTCTGAGGAGGTGAAGCCTCTAGAGGAGCTGTTCCAGGAGATCTGCGACGAGCTTTCAGGAGGGTGGATGGAAATCATGATGGACGCAAGGGGGACCCACGTGCTGAGGGCCATCTTGAGGGCCCTGTCGGGGCTGCAGCCCAGGGTCAAGGCGCAGACTGGAGAGAGCCCTGCATCGAACAGGAAGCCGGAGGGAGGAGGAGGGAGACAGGGAGCGAGGCAGACGCACGGGGCCTTCCGTGAGAGCGACTGGAAGCGACGGCCGGTTCCCAAGTCGTTCAAGGAGAGACTGAGGAGCATAGGGGAGGAGCTGTCGAGTGAGGAGACGGCGGAGGAGCTGGGCCAGATGGCCAAGAACTCTGCTGCTGCTCCTGTGCTCCAGATGCTGCTCCTCTCTGTGCGCACCCTGCCCGACATCGTGGAGAGGGTCACCAAGACGCTGCTCAAGTGGGACGAGGGAGAGTCGTCGGTGAACAAGGAGTGGGTGGTGAAGCTTGCGGCGGACGACTGCGGCAGTCACATGCTGGAGGCAGTGATCGAGTGCATGCCGGACCGGTTCGTCTACCATGTCTTCGAGAGCTTCAGGGGGAACATGCTCCAGCACTGCCGCCAGCGCACTGCCAACCACGTGCTGCAGCGGCTCATCGAGAGGCTGACGGACCCCCCCCAGCTCCAGACGGTCTTCAAGGAGCTGGGAAAGAACCTTAAGGACCTGCTGCAGTGGAACCGAGCTGGGGTGATCAAGTGCCTTGCTGACGCCTGTATCCGCAACCAGGAGGCGCAGAGCGACTTTGTCAAGTGGATCACTGCATCCTTCGAGCTCTCCCATCCCAAGCACTTCCCCCGCCTCGTCCCTTCCATCCTCGTGCTGAAAACGCTCCCAGAGTCCTTTGAGGAGGCGCAGGAGGAGGAGGCGAGCGATGGCAGGCGAGGGAACTCTGCCCAGGGAGGATGGAGCCAGGTCTCGTGCCTGATGGGATCTCTACTCCTGCAGTCCATGGTCCGGTTCGAGGAGGAGAGCATCAGCCCGATCATAGCGAGCTTCACCTCTCTCTCTCCCTCCTACCTCCTCAGGATCTGCAAGGACCCGACGGGCAGTCGGGCGGTTGAGGGCTTTGTGAGCTCGAGCACGATACCTATCAAGACCAAGATGAAATTTGTCGACGTCGTCACCTCCCTCAGCTCGAGCCTTGCTGTCGACAAGTTCGGCAGCCACATCGTGGAGGCTTGTTACAAGCACGCGAACATCGAGAGGAGGAAAAGCCTGGTGGCAGCGCTCTCGTCCTGCTCCAAGCAGCTCATGAAGAACTACTTCGGGGCCATCGTGTGCAAGAAATGTCGGGTGGAGCAGTTCGAGAAGCAGGAGAAGGAGTGGATGGAGGCGGAGGAGAGGAGCGTGCGGAAGAGGAAGATGTTTGAAGAGATCCTAGAAGATGAAGGGGAGGGGAAGAAAGGAGGGAAGCACGCAGAGGCTTCGTCCAAGAAGCACAAGAAGCACAAGAACGACAACAAGGCTGACAAGGAGGAGGAGGACGTTGAGGACGAGGCGGCAAGGGATGCGAGGATTGCTGCTGAGAATCTAGAGAAAGCCAAGAACTTTGCAGGTGCGTACCTCGATCCTCTCTTCTTCCTTGAGCTCCTTCCCCCCTCCCTCCCTCCCTTACACAATCCCCTCCTCTTCTTTCCTTTCCCCTCCGTTCCCTTCACGTCCTCCTTCCTTCTCCTCTCCTTTAGTTTCAGTTCCCCCGCTTCTCTCCCTCCCTCCCTCCCTCCCTCCCTCCCTCCCTCCCTCCCTTTCTCTCCCCTGCCCTGAGATCGTCTTGATGTGACATGTTTATCTTTGCTCAGGCGGGAAGCTCAACAAACTAGTCCAAAAGCTGGGGGTGAAGGACGAGCCCAAGGCGGAGGGAAAGAAAGACAAGTCGAAGAAGAAGGGCAAGAAGGACGAGTTGGCAGAGTTCAACGAGCGTTTGAAGAGAGACGGCGGTGCTGCAGATGAGATAGACGATCTGTTTTCTTCCAAGAAGGCCAAGAAGCACAAAAGATAACGAGGGTGTTGGTGTTGCATTGAAAGGGGTAAAACTTGCGGGTGTGTTTGCTTGTAGACTGGAGTTCGAACTCTCAGCTCATGAAAATCAACACATGTTCGGACTTGCTGTGTTTTCATTCAGCATCTCAGCGTTGCAAAGTGCTGTCGTGCCGTCTTTTCTCCATCCTCCCTCCCAGGAAAGACGATACCTCACAACACCTGGTCACCATCCTCGTCTTCGTTCTCGCTCGCATCCTCGTCCTCATCTTTGCGCTTGTCCTTCCCCTCCTCGTCCTCGTCCTCGTCCTCGTCCTCGTCCTCGTCCTCGTCCTCGTCCACTTCCTCCTCTTCCTTCTCTTCCTCCTCTTCCTCCTCTTCCTCCTCCTCGCTCTTCCCTATTTCGCGGGATCTGGATTTCCTTTGCAGTCTCCGACAAAATCAAAAGTCGGGGTGGGGTGATCACCCCCAGTTGATTATACCTACAAAATTTACTCGATTAAAAGGGGTAGTAGTTGTATTCAAATGACGATGGAGGGGGTAGTGGTGGTTGAGTTGGATAGGGCGACAATGCCTGTGGGTTGGAGCGTATGGAGCGTGGAGGAGGAGGGAGGAGGAGTCACTGCAGGGAGAGGGGAGGGGAGAGGAGCCGCCATGGAAGCTCAGGTCTCTTGTTCCTCATGTTCCTCGTCCTCGTCCTCATCCTCGTCCTCGTCCTCGTCCTCGTCCTCGTCTTCCTCGTCCTCCTCGTCCTCCATCTCGTCCTCCTCCTCCTCCTCCTCCTTTCCAGCGCTCTTTCCCCTCTTCGACAAGCCCACTATACTCTCTCCTTGCTCCTCACCTCTAGTGCAGGCTGTGCTGCGGATGATGAGGGTCGGGCAAGCGCAGAGCTCGAGGGGAGCGGACGAGCTCTTGCTTCCCTCGGGCCATGTCGTACACTACAAGATGCTAGCGGGAGAGGTGGTGATGGCGGTGGTTGTGTGCGGCAGGGAGGAGAATCCGTTCCATGGCAGGGAGAGTCTGCGGCGCCTCGAGCTCGTCATGATCGCGATCGCCAAGGGCGGAGAGTTGACGTCCTCGTTCCTCAACAGGAGATACCTGGACGTCTTCCTTGCCCTGCAGAGCTTGTCTCTGGAGAGCATCAGGTAGGGAAGCAAGAGAAGGAGGAGGAGCCTGAGCAGGACGTGCAGGAGCTACAGCACCATCCTCCGCGGTATGACTTCCTCCACGCGCGAGTCCGTTCAGCTGGCAGCCGAGCTGGAGGGGCTGAAGGGCAGCAGTGTGAGGAGGAGCATGAGGGCGGTGGAGGGATATCATGTCATAGAGTCAGGCGTCCTCAGGTCCTCCCTCCTCTCTCTCCTCTCCCTTCCTGCTCGCTGCTCGCTGCTCGCTGCTCGCTGCTCGCTGCTCGCTGCTCGCTGCTCGCTGCTCCGTCCTCCTTCAGCCCCTAGATTTTCCGTCCTCCCTTGGTCTTCTTGCCTTCCTCAAGCTCCTTCCTCCTCGTTGCTCCCTCACCTCCCATACTCGCCAGGAACGCGGCGATCCATCCCCCGGAGACCGACATGGCAGCAGACCCGCACGACCTGTGGAACGAGAGGAAGGCAGCAGAAAGAGGAGGAGAAGCGCAGCATGATGCTGATCCTGAGCAGGTGAGAGACTTTTGAAGGAGAGGGAGGGAGGG